ATTTTGATTGGAAAGAACTATTTTATGAATAAATATTTATATGATATGTGTATAAAAATATAACTTGTTAAGTCAAATTATTTTGCAACTTGAGCCTACATGCATTTGCATACATTTAAAGATTGAAGTGATGTTTATTATCCGTGTACTATCTAATTTCTTTCTTGATTATTAATTAAAGATGTTTAGTGTTATTTTAATGTATGAGTTTTTCTTATATAAGGGTGGATAGTACTCGAATATTGTCGATCAATTTCATACAAATTATATTATGATGAAAATTCATCCTTGTCATTCATTTCTTTTGTTGTGTGTGTGAGAGAGAGGGGGAGACAAGGTTTAGTTAAAAATCAAGTATAACCTGCTAAGATCTCTTTCCGAACATAGAAATAAACATATAATGTCTTTGATTGGTTTACGAGTATATGGCAAATAGATTTCTTAGAATTCTTCTATTTAGGAGTGATTTTCCTCCATTAACATGGAAGAGACATTTTGAATTATGCATTACTATAGTAAATGAGACTTAACAACTTTCACACAAGAGTTAGCATGACATAATTGATATCAATGTTTGAATTTGCTTGTATTTAAATAATGTCTTTGAAATATATTAATTTTATTTTTTTAAATATATTTTGTGAAGTTTCTTTGACATGAATAAGTAGAACTTACTCAAATATTTTAATATTTATGACTCGTATGCTTTTGTATATCATACTTTCACTTATGTGCTTAAAGAAACATTTTTTTTAAGTAGCAACGAGGGAGTATTTGACTAATTAATGTGTATTTTTTTTTTGGTCTTTCTGCTATATTAATTTTATTAGCAATTATCATAATTTGTATTGGCTTTGTAAGACTATAAGAGTTGTTGTGTGTTATTGAGTCTAATGTATAATATGTTCTTATTTAAATAAAGTGTTTGCTTGAATGGATAATATGTCGGATTATCTTTCAAGTGTTGTATGCTACTTTGATTTTTTTTCTCCCATGAAACCTATTAGAATTCCATTAGTTTTTCTTCCATTTTCTATAACTAAAGAATTAGGTTTGGATACCATGAGCTAATTAACATGGCAGACTGGTACCATCCTACAACTTTTAGGTTAATAACAAATTGGTAGGATCCTGTCCTAGCTTATGTCAAAGCAAGTGTCTAGCTTTCTTTAGTAGTAGTTTGTGAGGTAGAACATACAATTTGTTTCTTCATTATATTTGTAAGTTTCAAGATTTTAAAGGTTTGAGAGAATGTAGAAGAAAAATATTAAACTTAAGAGAATATGCCAAAAATATTAAGATTTAGTATCTTTTCACATTCTCAAAATGTAAAGAGTAGAATTTAAATTGTTAGAGAGAAAAAGAGAGATAGAGGGAAAACACATTAAATGTAGATCATTGAATACTTCTTAGAAGTTGAATCATAAAAGACAATTATATGTAATCATTACTATTTTTTAACTCAAAATTGGAAATTGAAGTGATATTTTGAATTTGAATGTTGGAGCTCTTGTCTTTTAGCATGCTAAATTATACAATCATTCTAGACAACATGATTAAACCTTTGCCCATGCAAACTATTATTATATGCACACATATTAAGACTATCTATAATAATATAATTAAATTTATTCTTAGCTAAGCCTTTTGTGCATAGTATCTTATGAAATGGTTCTTATTTTTTTTCCTATATGTTTTACTCTAGAATGCTAAATTGAACTTTGAAATAGATTTATGCACTAGTGTTTTATCAAAAGATGAATATATTATGTTTATACAAAAATATATCCAATTAAATCTTTTACTTATGACAATTGAGAATAGCATCCTACAACAAATATGTACTCTACTTATGCATTGATTAAGCTAAAAAAAATTACTTTTCTTTTTTCGCCTAACATGTAAGGTTTTCTTAAAAGAATTGACATTTTCTCCTTGAGTTTGTTTTTTTCTTACTCTATCTTTGGTAAAGCCATCATCACAAAATCATTTTAGCATAAAACTTGCTATGTGCTTGCACAACAAACTATAGTCATTGTTATCAATGAAATACTTAAAAATTCTTTTAATTACCTCCATGTGTGACTCTTTTTGGTCCAATTGAAATCTAGCATATAAATAGTTTATAATGTTTGTTATACTTATTAAGTATAATAGTGATTTAATCATACCTTTGTGAAACTTTTGATTTATTTATTTACCTTTTTTTCTTTATCTAAGACTAATTTAGCGTACTTATACTAATAAATGATGATACTTGAGTTGTATTGGTTAATTTAAAGCTGAATCAATTCTCTCATCATACTAATCTCAAACTCACTTTGCATCAATTTTTTTAAAATTTCTTGCATATATAGTCATTCACTACTAGAAACATATTGTTTACAGATGAATTTTATGTAAATATTTAAAATATATTTAAGAACTTATTTTTAATATTAATTTTAAATAATAAAATATTAAAAAAATTAAATGACGTGGCCACATACGTGTGTTAAGCTAGCTTTTCATTAGTCAGTGAGCTCAACATTTAATAGAAGAGAGTTAGTAACAAAGACTGAATTCTAATTTCTTAACATTTTAAAGACTAAATCCTAATTTTTTTTAAAGATTTATTATAAAATGTGCTATATTTATTGAAATAATTACATATTTAAGCCATTTATATTTTTATATTAGTCATATTTAATATAATAAAATATTTATTATTAATAATAAAAATATGTGCTCATTTTAAACTTATAAAATATTAAATTTAAAAATAATTATAAAATATAAATTTATTTAAAAAATATTTTAATTTATTAATACTGGGGTAATACATAAAAAAAACCTTTGTTAAAATAAAAAATAACTGCGGGTAAAAACCACTTTTTCTTGTGGCATATTAGACATTTTACCTTCAGTTTAATTATGAAAATTCTAATTCTACAAATTTTTATTGAACCAAAAGTTCTTTACTTTTAATCTTAAATTTGCATTGTCAAATGTTAAATTTCACTTAATTTTAAGAATTTTAAGACTTAAATCATAGCTTTAATTTACAATTTTGTCTTTAATTAAATTTTTTTTGAATGTATTAAAACATAAAATTCATTAAAATGTAGGATTAAAAATATATTTAAGTCTATTTCATTTTTTTAAAAAATTAAATGCATCTTCAAACTAGAAGATATCACTGTACTCTCTCTTAATTATATTCGCATCATCTATAAATTAAAGTAATTTTTTTTTTGTTATTATCCTTTGAAATCTTGTGTTTAAGAGAATGTTTCTCATCTTCATCGTTTTTACATTTATTGTACATTATTTTTTTTTTCTAATTTGATTCAAATTACAAGACAAACTCAAGTGCCAGGATTGTTTAAGAAACAAAGTACCAGATGTTATAAAAGACAATAGTAATTTTATCACTTGTATTTTTTAAAATGAAAATAATTATACCCTTCACCGTAACAAAGGGATGCCCTTCTATTGGTTTGAAATAAACTTCTCTTAAAATAAGGTATCTGAACACTTTAAATGGTCATTCAAATTCGAACAATGCTGAACAAATATTGTTTACAAATTTCTATGGTTATATAAAGGTAAGAAAGCCCATAAACCAAAAATCCACATAGGTTATTGCTTCAATGACTGCATTAAAATAAGAAAATTGACAAACGAACCCGTGACTAAAGAAGGAAATTTAATCGTCTTTGCAACCAAGAGTTTTGATTTTTTATATTTTGTGATAAGTCTAAGAAAAGAGGTAGCTCTTTAAGTAACACCTCAATCTTACAACATTTTTCTTCTAATACTTAGATATAGTTAGGCTTAATCACATTTTTCTTCTAACATTTAAAATTTAAAGAAATTACTATAATAAATTAAATTTAAAAATTATACATAACTTAAAGTATAGAAATCAAAAGTATAATTAAATCTTGCGGTCAAAGTCAAGAAACTCTAACATGAGATACTACTAAATTTTCTATGTTAAATAAATAGATTTTCCAACCGTGTTAGAGTTGAGAAAAAAGAAGAGGAAGTTTGAAGAAAGTAAATGAACTTCGTTGCCTTTATACCTAAAACTCAAGCCTGCATGGCTTTAGACGGAAAAATAAAAAAGAGTAAAAAAATGAATAGAGAAACTTTACTCAAATTACACTAATTTTGACATAAAATATGCTAATAAAATTTTTTATATTCACATAAAAGAACTTTTGTTAAGTGTGTAATTTTATAATGAAGACAAAACTTAAATATATTATTTGTTAAAAATATTAGAATTTTATATCAATAATATATAATACAGACTTAAATATATTTTAATTATTTTTAAATAGGTTTTATTTTAAATTAATATTTATTAATTTTTTTCATTTTAATGTTTAACTAATTTTTTTTAATTTTATACTTGACATTAATTTTTGTCAACTAAATAATAATATGACTCATAATTTATTATGTCACTTTTAATTTCTTTCCTTTACATTATTCTTAAATTTTTACGTCACAAATCTATATTAATATTTTATTTTTTAAAAAATAAAAATTTAAGATTTAAGCAAAAAAAACTCTAATTTTAAAATACTGCATACTTGAATTTTAATTTTTTTATTTTTTTAATTTAAAGGTAACATAAAAAAGGGAGATTAAAAATGGCATGGTAAATTGTGAGTTACATCACTGTTTAACTGAGATAAGTCAATGTCGAGTACAAAATTTAAAAAATATTAATTATATATTAAAATGAAAAAAATTTAATAAGTAATAATTTAAAATAAATCATATTTAAAAATAGTTAAAATATATTTAAGTCTATAATAAATATTAACACTAATTTTAAGATAGATTTTAATTTATATTAAAAATATCATCAAAATACTTAAATAATGCATTTAAATTTTATTATTTAACAAAAAAAATGTATATAAAATAAGAAAATGTTGTGAATGGATAAAAAATAAATTAAGGGAGAATATAAAATAACTTCAATGGTGGCATGGCAGAAACATAAATAGGGAGAAAGAGGGGGGAAGAAACATGAAGACAAGAAAAGCACGCCTTGGTTTGGCGTACTCCGATTCATTGTTAACTTTCTCTTTTATGTTTCTCTCTCCCCGCTAAGAGTAGGGCTTCTCCTATTGGTCGCGCTCTTAACCATCACCCCGCTCTATTTTACGCCCCTGGAGGTGACCCTCTTATCCTACTCCCCCTTCCCATTCAAACCCTAATTTGAACCAAAACAGAAAAAATTGATCGAGCGAGATCCCAGCCACGATCGCAGCTGAACCCTCTCGTTCAACCTCTTGCTTCGTCGTTTTGATCATCAGGTTAGGGTTAGGGTTCGATCACCAGGGAATTACAAGCAGAAATCAAAGGGTTAGGGTTTTCATGCTTTGGCGATTAACACTTGCGGTGCGACTGCGATGGCGGCCAATTCGGGCACCAAATACGTCTCTGTGAATCTTAACAAGTCGTATGGGCAGCATTCCTCCTCTTTCGGATCCACCCGAACGCCGAGACCCGCCGCGCACGGCGGAGGAGGCATGGCGGTTCTGTCGAGGCCTCGCAGTTCGCAGAAGGTTGCGCCTAAGCTTTCTGTTCCACCCCCCTTGAACCTCCCTTCGCTGCGCAAGGAGCACGAGCGGTTCGATTCGTTGGGATCGGGTGGCGGTCCGGCCGGTGGCGGCAGTTCGGGAACCGGCTCGAGGCCCACCTCGTCAGGTTTGGGCTGGACCAAACCCGTTACTGAAGATGGGTTGCGGTCTGTCGATGGTTTAGGCCGTGGAAGCAAAACGGTTGGGCCAGCCACCGCCGCCCCTGTTTCGGCGGCGGTTTTGCGAGGAGAGGATTTTCCTTCTTTGCGGGCCACGTTGGTGTCTTCCTCACCTGGGCCTGGCCCAAACCAGAAGATCCAGGAGAATTCGAATCAGAAGCCGAAAACTTTGGCTGATGAGAATGTATCTGTTGAGGAGAAGAAGGGGGGTTCTTTAGCTGTCGATGTGAACTCTCAGTTGAGTGTTTCTCGCAGTGTGAATGTATCTCTTAATGATGGCCACGAGGGTCGTGGTTTCGTTGGTTCCCGGGTTGTGAGCCAGAACTATGGTGTTGGTAGGAAGCAGGAAGAGTATTTCCCTGGTCCTCTGCCACTGGTTCGGTTGAACCCGCGGTCAGATTGGGCGGATGATGAGCGTGACACGAGTCATGGATTGATGGATAGGAATAGAGAGGGCAGGGATCATGGATTTTCTAAGAGTGATGCCTATTGGGATTTTGATATGCCTAGGGTTGGCGTTTTGCCGCATAAGCATGACAAAAGGGGACAGTTGAGGGGCAATGAGGCTGGAAAGGTTTCCTCCAGTGAAGTTTCTAAAGTGGACCCTTATGATAGAATGCGGCCCGAAGCGAATTCTTGGAGGAGTTCGAATTCAGCATTTTCCAAGGATGTGGGAAATGAGAGGAATGGAGTTGGTGTGAGGCCATCCAGTGGTAGTAGAGATGTAGGGAAGGATAACAAATATATTCCGTCTCCCTTCAGAGACCCTGTTCATGATGATCCTGGAAAGAGGGATATTATTGGTTATGGTCAGGGTGGGAAACTGCCTTGGAATAATGTGATGGAATCATACAGTGACCGTGGGTCTGACCGCAGTCGTCATGTTGCTAGCGAGCAGCAACACAACAGAAACAGAATGGATTCTGTCCAAGGCTCAGTGTCAAGATCATCATTTTCCTTGGGTGGTAAAGGACTTCCTGTTAATGATCCTCTGCTTAATTTTGGTAGAGAGAAACGTACTTTACCCAAGAATGAAAAGGTTTTCTTGGAGGATCCCTTCATGAAAGACTTTGGAGCTTCTAGTTTTGATGGGAGGGATCTATTTTCAGCTGGTCTTGTTGGGATGGTCAAGAAGAAGAAGGATGTCCTCAAGCAGACTGATTTCCATGATCCAGTTAGAGAATCCTTTGAGGCTGAGCTTGAAAGGGTTCAGAGGATGCAAGAACAGGAGAGGCAGCGAATCGTTGAAGAGCAAGAAAGGGCATTGGAGTTAGCTCGCAGAGAAGAGGAGGAGAGATTAAGGCAAGCTAGAGAACAGGAAGAGAGACAGAGGAGGTTGGAAGAAGAAGCAAGAGAGGCAGCGTGGAGAGCAGAACAAGAAAGGATTGAATCTTTGCGGAAGGCTGAAGAGCAGAGGTTGGCAAGGGAAGAAGAGAAACAAAGGATCCTTTTAGAAGAAGAGAGGAGGAAACAAGCTGCCAAACAGAAACTTATAGAATTGGAGCAAAGAATTGCTAGGAGGCAGGCTGAAGCAGCCAAAAGTGGCAATAATGCTTCAGTTGTTATGGATGAGAAAATGCCTGTGATAGTGAATGAAAACGAGGCATCCAGGGCTGCTGATGTGGGTGATTGGGAGGATAGTGAAAGAATGGTTGACAGGATATTAACTTCCGCATCTTCTGATGCATCAAGTGTGAATAGGGCATTGGAAATGGGCTCTAGGTCTCATTTCTCTAGAGATTTATCTTCTTCCTTTGTGGATAGAGGAAAACCAGTTAATTCATGTAGAAGAGATGCTTATGAGAATTGGAGCAACTCAGCATTTTATCCACAAGACCAGGGAAATAGTCACAACAGTCCCCGTAGAGATTTATCAATAGGGGGAAAGCCATTTATGAGGAAAGAATATAATGGTGGTGCTGGATTTGTTTCAAGGACTTATTATAAAGCAGGGATGTCGGAGGCTCATTTAGATGAATATGCTCATGTTAAACAACAGAGGTGGAATCAATCTACAGATGGAGATCATCTTAGCAGAAATACAGAGATGGATTCTGATTTTCATGAAAATTTTGAAAGATTTGGTGATGGTTGGACGCAGAGCCGTTCCCGGGGCAATCCATTTCCTCCATTCCCTGAGCATACTTATCCAAATTCTGAATCAGATGGATCCTATGCCTTGGGGAGGTCACGGTACTCTGTTAGGCAGCCCCGAGTTCTTCCCCCTCCTTCCCTAGCGTCTGTTCACAGGACGTTCAAGAATGAAAATGATCACCCTGGCCCTTCGGCCTTCCTAGAAAATGATATGCATTATAATCAGGCAGCAAGGAATGAATCTACGATGCCAGTTAGTTATGACAATGGGAACCGCGGACAACCTGATGCTGTGGATCCCCGGCAAGAGACTACTGAGAACGAGGACCATAAAGTGGAAACCGCACCAAGGTGCGATTCTCAGTCTTCAGTCTCTGTTTCAAGCCCCCCTACTTCCCCAACACATCTCTCTCACGATGATTTGGATGACTCTGGAGATTCCCCTATGATGTTGACTTCTGAAGAAAGCAAAAATGGCCTCCTTTCAGCTCCAGACAATGAATCCATTGTAACACCTGCCAGAGCTGGAAATGAGAATGTAGTCATTTCATGTGCTGTCTCTAGTGGCGATGATGATGAATGGACTAATGAGAATAACGAGCAGTTCCAGGAACAAGAAGAATATGATGAAGATGAAGACTATCAGGAAGAAGATGAAGTGCATGAAGGAGATGATAATGCTGAACTCAACCAGGACTTTGAAAATTTGCATTTGCAGGAGAAAGAATTGCCCCACTTGATGGATAACCTAGTATTAGGATTTGATGAGGGTGTTCAGGTTGGGATGCCCAATGAAGAATTTGAAAGGACTTCAAAGGATGAAGAAACTATATTTATGGCACAACAGGGTTCTGGCATCTCTCTAGAAGAACATACATCTTTTGATAATGCATGCAATGATGACAAAGCCCTACAACCTGTTGGTGATACCTCTCAGGTGAATCTTAATAGTGCTTCCAGTGTGTTCCAGGAATCAGAGAAGCCAGCTCAAGATTTGGTCATTCAACCTAGTAATGCTCATTCATCTGTGGCATCTGAGAGTTTAGGTAATGTGGAAGCTTCTAATGGCCTGTCTACACATCATAGTGCATCAACTTCAGTTACTATTGCTCCTAATTACTCATCCTCTGGTCAAGCTGTTACCTCTAATGTAGCTGCCGCTCCAAGTCAAGCTGAGTTGCCCATTAAGCTTCAATTTGGTCTTTTTTCTGGTCCATCTTTGATACCATCACCTGTACCAGCCATACAGATTGGTTCTATACAGATGCCCTTGCATCTGCATCCACAGGTTGGTGCACCCCTCTCTCACATGCACCCACCTCAGCCTCCTTTGTTTCAATTCGGGCAGCTAAGATATACATCTCCAATATCACAGGGGATAATGCCTCTGGGTCCTCAATCAATGTCATTTGTTCAGCCTAGTATACAATCTGGTTTCTCTTTTAACCATAACCCTGGAGGTAGAATGCTTGTTCAAACTGGTCCAGAAACTTCTGATTCCTTTATAAAAAATGAGATCAGGCATCAAGCTGTTGACAGACAAGGTAATTCAAGAAACTTATCTCAAGGTTTAGTGCCAAGTGAGGATGCAGAAAATATTGCTGGAATAAAGAAGGGTCGAATTGAGCCTGCTCATAATGCTAGTAATACCACCAGGACTTCTACAAGTTTTCAACTTGACAAGCAGGCAAGCCAAAATGTAGTTGGAAAAGGCAGCAATATTTTGTCCAATGCTAAAGAATCAGAAGTTCGGCCTGTGTCTGGAGATGCATCACTTCATTCAGTTTCAAAAGAGAAAGATGTTATGGAGTCGAAAGTACAATTTCCTGCATCTGGTGGTCGAGGCAAAAGATATGTCTTTACTGTAAAATCTTCAAACTCAAGATCATCAGGTCCTGCTCCAAGGATTAATCGCCCAGACTCTGGAGGATTTACAAGGAAGCCTCGTCGGAATATGCAGCGCACTGAGTTTCGGGTTCGGGAAAGTGCTGAGAAGAGGCAGTCTTCTAGTTCGGTTTTGACTGATCAGTTTGGGTTGGAGAATAAGTCAAATGTCAATGGAAGGGGAACAGGTATATCTGGAAGGACTGGACCCAGGAAGGCTATGGCAAATAAATTGGGAAAACACATAATAGAATCTGCTACGGAAAATTCACATGGAATAGATTCTGGAAGCAGAGCTGAAAAAATTGATAGAAAAGAATCAACAAAGACTCAAACCATCTCACATTCTGGACAGAGTAATCTCAAAAGGAACTTGTGTTCTGAGGAAGACGTTGATGGTCCATTGCAAAGTGGAATTATACGTGTGTTTGAACAACCTGGAATTGAAGCTCCTAGTGATGAAGATGACTTTATAGAAGTCAGGTCAAAGAGGCAAATGCTAAATGATCGGCGAGAACAGAGAGAGAAAGAGATTAAGGCCAAGTCTCGGGTTGCAAAGGTAACCATTCTTACTCAGTTTCTATCTGTACATGAAACCTTAAACGTGTTAACATCTTTCTTAATCGTCTGTATTTAATACTAGGTTCAACGAAAACATCGTTCTTCACAGAGTGTTGTGACCATGGCCAACTCTAGCAAAGGATCCCTAACTACTGGTGAAGTGGCAAACACTATTCGTCCTGATTTTGTTGCTACGGAGATGCATGGAATGGCCAAGATTGATGCCTCATCTGGATTTAATTCAAGCATATTGTCCCAAGCATTGCCTCCTATAGGCACACCTCCTTTGAAAATTGATGCCCAGCCTGATTTAAGATCACAGATAAGCAGGTAGTTGCCATCTTGCAAAATTTGTTGTGGTGATCACTGTACAAAAAGCACCGATGAATTTTTTTCCTTTTACAGGTCACTTCAGACAAGTCTCCCAGCTGTTTCTGGTGGTGAAAGGGACCCTGGGTCTAGTGTGATATTTGAAAGCAAGAACAAGGTTCTTGATAATGTTCAGACATCTTTGGGCTCTTGGGGCAATGTGCAAATTAGTCAACAGGTTTGAACTTCATCTCCCTCACTTTTTAAGACAACAGTGGCAGTTGAAATTTCGTCATTTCTGATTTTCTTGTGTGTGTTTGGTGTATATTTTATTAATGCTTTTTTAGTTTTTTAGATTAAAAAATTCTAGAAACACGGTTAAACTTCATGTATGCGGTCCCTCCTTTGCTGCATTATTTCAGTTTATCTACTTAGAAATTTAGGATCTGCTTTTTCCTATGAATTGTTTAGTTCCGTGTGGAGAAGGTATCCTACAATCAAATTTTGCCTATGTAATTGTTTTGGGATTGACTGAAAAGTTTCTTCAGAAGCAACTACTTATTACATGTTTGGCTCAGCTTAAATTTAGGAAAAGCTCTCTCAAGAAGTTCAAAGGAATAAGCGATTATTTCTCTAAAATAAGTTGAGCCAAACATGCTTTTGTAGTTTTGATTTTTTTTAGATGGGGGATGTCAGGGGATCAAAATGACAATTTAAGATGAGATGCTCGGATTCAGACAGAGGCAGAAATATTTTATCATTTGTTCCACCATAATGTTGAGAATCTAAAACAAATTGTATTGCAGGTAATGGCGCTTACACAGACACAACTTGATGAGGCCATGAAGCCTCAACAGTTCGATTCACAGGCTTCTGTTGGCAATATGGCTGGTGCTGTTAATGAACCCAGTTTACCAACATCATCCATTTTGACAAAGGAGAAAAACTTCTCATCTGTGGCCAGCCCAATTAATTCCTTGCTTGCTGGAGAGAAAATTCAGTTTGGTTAGTGAATAATTTTTGCATTGGGATTTGTTTAGTCAATCATTTGATTATAATAAAACTCAAGCAATTCTCTTGCAGTCTGAGGTTATATTTCTGGATTTTCAGTTGCCTTACTGACGGATGATATTTCATTTTATATTCAGGGGCAGTGACATCTCCGACTGTTCTTCCATCTAGCAGCCGTGCTGTGTCTCATGGCATTGGCCCACCATCTAGATCAGACATGCAAATGTCCCACAACCTTGTTGGATCTGATAATGATTGCAGTCTTTTCTTTGATAAAGAAGAACATGGTAATGAATCTCATGGTCATTTAGAAGATTGTGATGCAGAAGCTGAAGCTGAAGCAGCTGCTTCAGCTGTTGCTGTTGCTGCCATCAGTAGTGACGAGATTGTTGGAAATGGATTGGGTTCTTGTTCTGTCTCTGTTTCAGATGGCAAAAGTTTTGTAGCTGCAGATATTGATAGGGTAGTGGCAGGTGAATCTTTTCCCTCAGTATTACACATTAGTATAGTTTTTCTTTCTTCTCAGCTTATGCTCTAATTTGACTTCAGATCAATTTGTATTCTGCAACTTCATATTGATCTGTTAGTTACTTTGGCAGGAGTAGGTTGTGATCAGCAAACAGCCAGTCAGTCTAGATCTGAGGAGCCTCTTAGTGTATCACTTCCAGCAGACTTATCTGTTGAGACTCCACCAATTTCCTTGTGGCCACCCTTACCAAGTACACAAAATTCTTCAGGTCAAATGATTTCACATTTTCCTTCTGTGCCTCCACATTTTCCTTCTGGCCCTCCTTCTCATTTTCCTTACTATGAAATGAATCCTATGATGGGTGGTCCTGTCTTTGCTTTTGGACAACATGATGAGTCTGCATCTACTACCACACAGTCACAGCCTCCAAAAAGTACTACATCTGCATCAAGGCCAATGGGGAGCTGGCAACAATGCCATTCTGGTGTTGAATCTTTTTATGGACCTCCAACAGGGTTTACTGGGCCTTTTATTGCTCCTCCGGGTGGCATTCCTGGAGTCCAGGGGCCACCACACATGGTTGTTTATAACCATTTTGCTCCAGTTGGGCAATATGGTCAAGTTGGCTTGAGTTTTATGGGCACCACTTATATCCCGTCGGGAAAGCAGCCTGATTGGAAACACATCCCTACTTCTTCTGCCGTGGGGGCTGCTGAAGGGGATATGAACAATATCAATATGGCATCTTCACAGCGGAATCCTGCTAACATGCCTTCTCCAATTCAACATCTTGCTCCTGGTTCACCACTTATGCCGATGGCTTCTCCTGTGGCTATGTTTGATGTTTCTCCTTTCCAGGTAAAATTTTTATGTGTCTTGAAGTTAATTTCTACAATGATCATACAAAATCTTCTATTCTCATAGTGCAGTATTGGAGTACTGGGGATAGTATTTCTGTTTTGGAATATGTCAATATTGTAGTTTAAATTTGTACAAAGAGATAGCAAAAGCTATTGGTTTGTGCTTATGTTTTAGTTTATCTGTGTGGTAATGTTTTGTTTCATAAGTTAACAATTGTGTGAAATTTGTGCCAGCCCTCTACTGAGATGTCAGTACAAGCTCGATGGCCACATGTTCCAAATTCACCACTTTCATCCGTTCCTCTGTCAATGCCACTGCAGCAACAAGAAGGAATGCAGGCTTCTCAGTTCAGCCATGGCCCTTCTGTTGACCAGCCATTAAATGCCAAAAGGTTTACCAGTTCTCGAGCTTCAACATCTGACGGTGATAGGAATTTTCCTAGAGCAGCTGACATGAATGTCAACCAATTGCCTGATGAACTTGGATTGGTGGATACTTCAAACCCCACTGCTGCCAAGACTCCAGCACAGAGTGTTGTCAACAAGACTCCATCTATGATCACCATTACAGATGCTGGGAAGGTTGATGCGCAGAATGGCAATGGCAGCAATAGTAGTAACCAGAATGCAAGTTCTTTTAAGAGTCAGCCCTCACAACAAGCTATTATTTCTTCCCAGCAGTCTGACCATTCCACAGGACATTCTAATTATCAGAGAGGTGGTGTTTCTCAAAGAAATAGTTCTGGGAGTGAATGGTCCCATCGTAGAGGGTACCAAGGAAGAAATCAATCTCTAGGTGCAGATAAGGGCTTTTCCTCGACCAAGGTAAAGCAAATATATGTGGCAAAACAGACTATTAGTGGGGCATCAACAGTGTCATGAGGAACAAGACATATTAGTCAGTTGCATTTGAAAAAACTGGTAAGGCTTTATTATTAATTTTTGGTCTGGCAGAAATAAAAGTTTTGATTAAGCTTCTACGTGGAGTGTTAAGGCAGTTTGCTAGAGATTTTTGCTGGCTACAACAAATTCCATACAAGCCATCATCAGGCTGCGTAGGGTTGGATAGCTCTTTTGTTGTGCTCTCGTGGTTACTGGGCACTACTGTTTAGCATGTCGACGTGGCTTGGTGGACGCTGTGTTGTTTTGCTATGGTGTATCGATCAAGCATGTTCGATCTCTGTTTTCTTTGAACGGTATAAAAACCAGGCAGATTATTTATTTGGGTTCTGTGTATCGAAACCATTAGTTGTCCTCCTATATTCTTTTCATTATTATAAGGGAAGTATCAGTTTTGAGAAATGCTACTTTTCTTGTCTACTCGTACACTTGGATTTCAAGTATTTTTAGAGCGCCGAGACCAATTAGACGTTGACCAAGGGTTTGATTTGGCTTTGAATTTTAATAATTTTTAAAGGGATGGATGGGAGCTCCTGTTAAAACTCTGTTTGATATAAAAGTGTGAATCTCTGCCCTTGCAGTCATTGCTTGTCATTGTCTTCCACTTTTTGGTGAATTGAAGGTGTAAAGGCCCAACAAGGCAAAGACTTTATTATACTGCGGATTATGGGTTGACCTAAAACAAAAAACAAAAGCAGAAAGTTGAGTACGGGAACAATCTGCAAAATCTATGTAGAGAAATAAAATAAGGCTGAAAATCAAACCAGCTGACTGAGCCCAGTGTTTTTGGTCATTTAATAGCCTTGTGATAAGCTGGAAGAACATGAAATATAAGGAGTAAGATTCAAATTCTGTGACGCCCAAAATCTCCAACCTCCTCCCTTGGAAAAATAATCTTAAATTGATATCCTCCAAACATTTTAAACAAATGGCTAGTTTGATTACCGTTGAAGGCAGCATTAGAAGATGAACACCTTGGATTTTATATGCAGAAAAATTGAAATTTGGTTAATAGAAGTGATTATTTTTTACTGTCAACAAAATCGATTTTCCTTTTAATGCATATAGGTTGAAAATTGATTTCTGTATAATATTCTCTAGTCTTTTTTATAAGAAATAAAGTAGAGTATTTTTTTTTAATCTTTATTATAAGAAATAAATGATATATTTAAGATATATTAATTATTAATTTTTTTTATTTTTTATTAATATTATTAAATATATAAATTACTAATTATACTATTTAATATCATGAATATTTTTAAAATAAAATTTATATTTATAAAAAGTATAACAAAATTAATTATTTTTTTGGGTCTATATAAAGTAAACATATTCGTTGTGCTCCGTGTCCGAAACAGATTGGTGAGAGGACATGATTTTCTTGCTGCGGGATTCTAGGGGCTCGTCGTGAAGTACCCGAGTTTAAACGAATTTATTGTATCCGATGGTTCCGCTGTTATAATTACCAACGCATGCATGGGACTGCCATATCTAATATCACTTTTGTTTAAGAGAAAATAAATTCGTTTAAACAAAAATATATATATGAGAAAATAAAAAATTGGATGTGAGAAAAAAAAATGATTGAGGATAGATAGTGATAAAAAGAATGGTGGTAAAGAGAGAGGAAAGTAGGGAATTGGAGTTAGAGTGAGAAGAAAGAAAAAAAGAAGTAGACATGGAGTAAAGAAAAGAAAGAGTTGGGAGAAGAAAAAAAAAAATTAGTTATGAGAGAAAAAGAAAGTGAATATGAAAATTTAAGAGTTGAATATAAAATTTTAGGCACGAATAAGAGAAAAAAAAGACTGTAAAAAGAAGCAAAATTAGCTTAAGTCAATAATTTTTGTTAATTAAAAATTTCTGTTACATCATAGAAAAATAATCAAATTTATTTATTTTTAATAATAAAATTTAAGTTTCGTCCGAACAAAGAAAAGATAAGAAGATGATGCAACAAAAATGACTTTCAATAAAAAAATATTTTGTTAATATCTTATTTTGATAATTTATTTTTAATTTTATCTATTTTAAAAAAAATTAAAAAATTTAAGATATTAAAATAATAAAATTTTATTAAAAAGTATTTATTTCACTTTTATAATTTTAATACAATAAATATAACTTCTTTTATAAATTTTTTATTTAAATATATTTAAATTAAACTTTAAAAATTAGAATAAACAAAACTCTTATAAATATAAAAAAAAATATAATAAGTAAAGTTGTAAAATAAATAAATAAAAAATAATGTACAAAATTACTTCTGATTTTATTTATAAAATAATTATAAATATTTTTTTAGTTTTAAATATAAAAATAATAAATTTTTTTATATATTAATTAATATTTTCTTATATATTTATTTATTGTAAGATTTATATTAATAAAATATATATTCTTTATTAACAAAAATAGATACAGATTCATTTAATATATAATATATCAATTTAATTATTTAATATTATAAATATTTATAAAATAGAGCATACATTTATAATATGTAATTAATTTTTATTAGTTTTGTTCAATTAAGTATTTGTTTCCAAACAAATATAAAAATAAAATAGACGATTTTAACATTTCAATCTTTTGAAGAGTAAACTGTCAGAGCATAATTTTAAAATATTAATTAATATCCTATAAATAATAATTAATAAATTTAAAATATAAAATATTATTAATATACTTTTTATAATGTTTAATATATTTTAATACAATCTTTAATTGTATAAATTTCTTTGTTAATAGTATAATTTAAATTTGAATATATTTTAAGACAATTTTAAATAATATAACTTTCTTTGTTTTGGGCAAAAGTTAGTATGATTCATAAAGGGAAAGAACAGAAAAAGAGGAACATTAATACAAAATAATAATTTTAAAGTATAAGTTTATAAAAATTTAAAGATTTATTTTAAAAGCTCTTTCTCACGTTTAAATAAAACAATCCTTTAACTTTCTATCATTTTTTTTTTCTAAAAATATAGCCTAAAAAGATATCAGGGGTGAACAAAATTTGACAACCTAGCTAATAGCTATTTAAACTAAGGAAAAAAAAACGTTGATTTGTGTCAAATTTCTATTAAAATGAGCTAAATGTACAATTTTATATGGGTTTATTCGGTCAAAAAGGGGTGAATAGCAGTGAGTGAACAACCATCGAATCCGATTAATTGATTCTATTTTACTCTTCTCTACACCTGTTAATACTCTATGGTCACCGTTCAAAATATTCTCTTGTGTTTCATCTTTTAAATGGTGATAGTCTCTGATGATCTTTCATTTCATCTTTTAGACTCAATTTAATCTACTAGTCCAACCCGAGTTGGCCTGCATCAGCTAGGGAGCTAACACACGACATGCGATTTTAACCCATTATCATAATAATCAAATATTGATTATATTAACAAATTTTAATATAAAATAAATTCAAAATATAGTTTTAAAATTGATAATTTTAAATTTTAATTGAAAACAAATATTACTTACAAAAGCATATTCACTTATAAAAATAAAAGTGATATAAACTCTGAATAAACTTAAATAGACCAAATTAAAAAGGTCCAAATATATTTTGACTTTCAATTATAACGTGACTTTTATTCAAAATACAGGTTTTTACATCTAATCAAAATAATTTTGGAACTCCTTTTTCGGCCAAAATACTATGAACTATGTTGATAATGGTTTGATTTTTTTTTTCTTTTAACAATATGATGTTTATAAGACTATGAATTTTCTTTAAATACCATGTTTATTACAAAATTCAACAAACTCTTTGAGGAGATACTCTCCCCCTTGTCACTATGCAAGGTCTATATAGGAACACTAACTTGGTTTTAACTAATGTTTTAAACACTTTAAATACACTAAATGGTTCATTCTTCTCAATAAAAAAATAGAATTTTTTACTCAAATCATTAATAAAAGAGAGTATGTAATTTTTATTTCCATTAGATGTAGAACCAATATAGGGTCACAAATATCAAAATAAATTAATTCGTTGGTGCTTCTCTTTGAGATAATGTTTGTAAAGTTGAGTTGGTGGCTTAAAAGTGAGTAATCTTCTTACAATATTATATTCTAGTAAAGTTTTTAGTCCACCATAACTTAAGATTTTGCATATATTATCATGTGATTAGAAATTTTAATCCAACTAGTAGTTTTAAAATAAATAATTTTTATATTAAACTGATATAATTTAATCCTTTATATATATATATATGAAATGACTCAATTAAAAACACTTATTTATTAAGAGAGAGAATGAGAACAATCAAAATAAATCATTAAATTTAATTTAAATAATTAAAATTAAAAAAAAAGCATTTGACTTTTTTAAATAATCATGTTAACACTATCAAACTTTTAATTTTAACTATCCATGTATTATTTTATAGTTTATATTTACTATTCTCAAAATTTTATAATGATAATGACTTTTTTAAATAAAATATAACACTATTGCCAAATTTTTTATACAAATAACATAGAATGTATTGAAGAGTTTTTCACTAATTAGGTATCATAACTTTAAGAGTTGTAAAATTTTAAATTAAATATGAGGTGAAATTTAAATTATGATATATTAGAAATTGGTAAAAAAATTAGTGATAACTCAAAGACAATTGAAAGGTCATGCTTTAGATGTACATACTCTACGTAATTAAGTGTGTTTTTAATGTTGCATGCAAGTTATTATATAACATCCTAATTTTTGAATTCTAAAAATAAATAATAATTTACTGTAAATTAAAAGAATAAATTGATTTTTATTTAATTTTTGAAATATAAACATGTGAAAAAATTTGAACTTTTCTTTCATTGAGCATATTTGTAATGTTTTTACTATTCCTTTTTACTAATTTAAATCATAAATATTTAAAAGAAATAAAATTAATTTATAAGATAAAATGAGAAGCATAAAAATGCAATAACATTGAAACTTTTTTGAAAATAAATTCTTTCATAATACTTCACAAAAGTTATTAGAAATGCATTTTCCTCAATTTAAAAAAAAATTCAACATAAAAATAATAGGATTGGTGAAGTTAATTGATGAATATTATAAATATAATTTAAATTATTATTAATAATAATTTTTATCAAACCTCTCAATGTTTAAATTCATTAGACATTATTTATATATCAGAAATTTAATTCTAACTAAGACTTAATCAAAACTTTCACAACTTTAAATACAATTTAAAGCCTACAAAGCATATTCTTCCTTGTAACACCACTGAAAATATGATCCTAGAACATACCATCCTTCATTTTAAATTCCTGAAAAATGGTTATAAGGGTGAGCAATCCTGTTTTCAATAATTCTTTAGTTTAAAAGTCATCCAAATTAAAACAAGAGACATAGATTCTTGTGCCAACATAGTAAATAATACAGTTTTCAATACAAAATTAATAAAATTACAGCAGCAGCAATCATGTTAATTATAATTTAAATCATGCATCGACATAATATCAATCTAAGCTATTCACTAACATATGTTCTATAAATCAATAGATTATCCTATCACATCACCATTACATCACACATTTACAATTTTCGTACCACTTCATTCATTTCTTATCGAGCAATATGTTATAATAAGTGCACTACAACCATATTAATTAATGCATTATAATTACACCCGTTAATGTTTTACAAAACTTGTATTATAATTACACTAATTAATTCGTTATGATTCACCTATTATAAACACACATCTCACAATTTTACATTCATTACCTCTGTGATCCCTTGAGGTCTTACATACGTATAGATAGCTGCTGGTTAGCCGCAACAACACAGATACAACATGTGTTCCCCCAGCCCCTTTTAGCAAATGTATAGTCAGGAGTTTCGTCAGGAGATGAATGTGTGGCCTGTGAATGCTTTTCCTTTCAGCAAATCTTTGGGCACTCTCTTCCAATTAGCATTTACCACACTCATTTTCCCAAATTTTTTTAAATCTTCTCTGGATTCTATACCCATAGTGTATCTCTATACTATCTATACAGGGTCTCAACATTTCTTATGACCCTACTTTCTCAATATTTCATATACATTCAATTTCTTAGTCTTTCTCATTGCAATTCATTTATAAGCACTTCATCATTTCATATGACACATATCTCATCGTCATTTCAACATTTCATATTCCTCATAATTCATCAACATTTCCTTTTAACTTTGATAACACAAATAACTTTAATTTAACATGCTCACTTATTCATATCACCTCCTTTTTATTCATGAATTCTTACTAATAAAACATTACCATTCAAAACAATTAAATACCTTCCACGAGAACACAAATTCACCAACTTTCACATTCATTAGTTATTAAACACAAATTTATATTCATTACACTACAAAATTTCAATATTAATCACCAATCCACCTATTTCACATCAATAAAGTGTGCTGAAGGTAGGTCACCCTCGGACTCAAACCAATCGTACATCTTTAACACATTAAGCTAAATCACAGAGAAAAATTTGCCAGAAATTACGCTCTCTTGGTCTTTTATAAAATTGTCTATCCTGATGTTCCACACTTTTTATCATCTATTATTCAAAGTCATGACCCAACAATAATCATACATACATGTCAACCTTAAGGTCATAAACTTTCTTACAAACTTGTTTTACTTCTAATTTCTGTTACAAAATCCTAGCCTAGTGTGTTCAAAAATAAATCATCATGCTTTTATGTTCTAAAGATCTCGATTAATGAAGGCTTTACTATTTAGTACACAAGTATTAAAGTTTCTAAGCCAAGACATAGAATAATAGTTAGAGTTCGTGATCTAGTTCTCTTACCTGAAAATGAGTCTCTACTATCAAATCCTTCTAGCGGTCCAGAGGGAAGTTACAACACGTCTAAAATATAGAGATATTCCTAAATATTACAAGGTGAACATCTATTGAGAAAGAGAACAATAAAGAAAAGAGATAAAGCTAGAGATCTAAGCTCTGAGAAACTTACTTAGTTTCGAACGAAATAGTTATTTGAGCTCAGATCTGGAAGAGATTTAGAGTTTGGTAGAGCTTCTTTTGACAAAGGATAGAAAGAGAACAGAGAAAAACAAAGAGAGAAGATTGTTTAGTGAGAAAATGAATATTTTTGGGGTTGGGGTTCCTTAAATACTCCTCTCAGCCTGCGCATTCTCACTTGGGCGAGCGGGTTCTCGCTTGAGTGAGCTCTACCCTTGCCTAGGCGACCCTTCCTCGCTTATGTGAGACAATCAGACAGTGAAACTACTTTTTTTTACTATTCTCGCTTGAGCGACATACAATCTCGTCTGAGCGAGCTCAATCTCACTTAAGCGAGATTAAGTCCATAGACCTCCCTTTTTTTCTGTGACTCCTCGCCTGGGCGAACTATATCTCGCCCAAGCGAGATCCCTTCTCGCTTGGCAAGAGGACAATTGGGTCAATCTTATCCTTTCTCGCTTGAGTAAAAATACTCCAGAACGCTCTCTTTTAAAAAGTTCTATCTCGCTTGAGCGAGACCTATCTCGCTTGGGTGAGAAACTTTGCACCAAAGTTCCTATTTTTTTTCCATATAAGAGTACCAAAAATTTAGGGTGTTACATATTACATATCCTATGATACATTTATTAGCTTGACTAGTGAATGTATAATATATGTTAACTGCTTGCAGAGTGAAATCATATATTCACCCTCTAAAGTAAATTTTAGAAAGCAAATTATATGTTAACAGTTCTTATAAATTAAAATTTTAAAAAATTGTAGCAACTTCTAAATTATAAATCCATGTAAGGATGAAGTGTCACTCAACTCATAACAGCTTCATGAATATCTTTTTTTTTTTGTTTTCTTTACACTAACAAAGATGATTTTTTCTGCAAATGTACACATTTTTCACACATCTATCTCTATTCTCTTTCTATTAATAGTGAAACCTCATATTATTTTGATCTCATTTTTGTTTTCTGTTTACTAATGTTTCGTTCATTTAGAAGTGAACTATTTAGTTAACACAATATACAAATTTGAATTTCAACGAGGCAAAGAATCAATTTTAGTTTGCAATAAAAAAATCATAAATAAAGAATTTGAATTTTAGATATACAAACTCAAGTTTAAAGTAACACTAAATTAATATGGTTTATAATAAAAAAACTCCTAAGAATTTTTTTTTCAAATTTTAGATTCACAATTTATACTTTCGATAGCAGTTATAAAAACCGTTCTCTAAGTGACACTTAGAGAGTGATTATTAACTTTTCTCTAAGTACATCCACTTTAGATGATACTTGTTAAAACATTTTGAATTACTCTCTAAAATGATGTAGAACCACTCTCTAATGTCTTTTCTATTGAAATATAAAGATAGTAACAAAAATTTAAATGCTTCTAAAGATGATGAATTAAAGAATAATAGGGGTTTCATTATCCTTATTTAAAGGAAGGTGTTGATTATAAAGAAATAACTTAATATTTAATATTTTTTAAGCATTGCATAAGTGTATCTTCCTCGTTCTAAAATTCTATTTAATGCATTTATATCATTAATCTTCTATATTTGTTTAAAAAAAATTCAAGAGCATTAGAAAAAAATAAAATAAAATAAAATTCAAGAGCATAACTGTTAGTTTTCATTTTTATTTCATGTTGAATTCATTATTGTTCTTGCCTTAGTTAAAGAGGTTGATCATAATAAAGAATGGTATATGATTCATAGACTAAGTGTTTCAAAAAGCTAAAGAAAATCAAAATAATTTTTTAAAAAATGGTTAGAGGTTTGTCATTTCTACTCCTAAGTACTTACCATATTACCTATGAATTGTTTTTTGAAATACTAAAAACAAAATGGTTAAATCATCTGGAAATTTAATTATTATTTTGAAAAATAGGTTTAAGTTGTATATTAATGTAATATATATCTTTTTCTTCTTCTTCCATGTTATACAAACAAATGTTATTTAATGTATAAGCAAGATTTATTGAGTTTATACAATTATTAGGGCAATAACAATAAAATAAAATTGAATCTTGAATTAATAGATTTAAATATGATAAAATTACATAATAGAACTAAAGGAAGGGCATACAAACATGGTGTTTCATGTTTTGGGCGTGGAAACAGTCAGCTTAATTTCTTATACTGTGTGCTCTACACCTTTTTTGACTCGATGGAGGAAGGGAACAAGAAACTACAGGTGAAGCGATTTAGACTTGTTCTTCACTTATATATAATCAACATGCGCCCCACTATGTCCAATTCTTGTCCGTAAAGTGCAGGCCAACACTATGACTTGAACTTTCTAGAGCTTCCATTGATTCAGTCGCAGGTGAAACTCGAGATAAGAAGGTTCAAATACAGCACAGGCAAAAATGTCATTATTTGGAGGAGCTTCCAATTGATGGAATGATGGTTTAAGAAGTTAAATTTGAATACTCAGTATTTTAGAGAATTGTTATGTATAATAATAAATTGTAAAAATGATTAAAATTATTTAAATACTATTATATATATATATATATATATATATATATATTGTAAAATTATTAAAATCTTAACTATTAATATTCAGTCACTATTTAATATTTTATATTGTTTAATTGGTGTTTATATATCATTTCATTAGAGGTGTTTAAGATTTAAAAACGAATTTAATTAGACCATTCGAAATCACTGAACCCATCCAAAAATAAGAAGAGAAAGCATCGTTAATAAAAAATCCAAAATAAATTATTTAATTATACGATTTTGTTTGATTTTCAATTTCTTTATTTAAAATCAAATCAAACTAAACAATAGAAACTAAATTCATTATTTTTCTATTATATTTTTACATAATAATCTAAAGTATATTTCATCAAACATATTTTTATTGTTTAAATAAATTTGAGATTGTAAGAAAAAATAAATTTGAGATTATTTTGGCTTGGTTTAGATGCATTATACTTTATAATGAGATTTAATATTTTTAACAAGTTTTTCCATATTTATTTTGCCTTTATCTTTTTAATTTAATATGTGTTATTTCTTGAATAAAAAATGAATTACTAATAAAATATATGCATTAGTTTGAAGCTTTATTGTACTTTCATTAACAAAATTTTATTTATTTGTTAATCTAAAAATTAAAATGTATAAAAAAAAATTAAGTATCAAAATGACTAATTCAATATAAATGACAAAAGATCCATTTGAATTGATCTAATTTTATTTTTATTTTTAAATTGATTCAAATTAAATTATAAAATTTTATAGGATATAATTGAATAGTGTTTAATATTTAGATTGATTTAAATCAAATCACAAACGCTCTTAATTTGAACGCATGCAACATGAATTGACTTGAATATCAAGATAAGTTTAGTGACAATCAAGTTTTTTTTTCTCACCATTACAATATTCAAATTGGTTACCCTAGCAAAGACCCTAATGTACATCTTTTATTTCTAAAAAGATTATATTATTTATAATCATAGACCTACACATAGGTTAATTCAGTTTCTTCTTGTACTAAAGTAATACGAAAGCAACTTCTTAATTAAAAATCGTTTAGAGAAAATCTTAATGTCATTATCCTAAAATTTGACTTACAAATAAAGTTTTATTCGGCAGAGGATCAACCGGAAAACCTGACGCATAAGGGTAACTTGGGAGTCCCAACTTGGGACAAGTGACGTATCATAATTAAGATTGAGATGATCCAGAAGTCATGTCCCACGCATCAGCGTAATTCGCAAGACCATCAATTAACAGGACGATGCATTTAATTAAGAGTTCAAAACAAACACCATCCACTTAAATTCAATCATACGAATGTTATACACATGATCACCATCATTATTACTATTGTCTACTTTAGTCCTGCAGCTCCTCTGCAACACCAAACCAAACTACAAAAGGCCATCAATTAACAACTATTACCATCTGTGTATATATATAAGAAGAAACGATTAAAAGCCCTATAAAATTCTTAGAGGAACTTCATGAAATGTATCCTAGACAAGAGTCTTCAACTGTTTGGCACCAGCACCGATTGGGTACTCTTCGCGCCCTCTCTTGCGGCAGTTACCATTGGCGGCAATATTCAATTTCTCTTTCTCTTCTTCGCCCTTCAACCAAACACCAAACAGTTTCAAACTCTCTCCTTTCGATTCACACTCACCTACCGCATTTTCTTCGTCATCATCATCATTAGCATCAAAACGCACCGCATCGGGGCTGGACCCACAAGTTCCTTGCCGAGTGATGCGGTTTATCACATCGGGACCCACATTCAGAGAATTCCTCAGAAAGGCCACGAGTTCGTCGCATTGTTTCTTCGCGCGCGCCAGCTCACAGCTCAATTTCTCGTTGTCTTTCTTCAATTTCTCGTTCTCGCCCGATAAATCCGCGCACTGTGTCGTTCCCTCCACCGATCCCGTCGACGTCGAACCCATGTCGTCGCCGCCCGAGTTCGACGCCGAGATCGACGCCGAGATGTTGCCGCCGACGGATTTTCCCGCTGCAGTGGAATGGGGCACCGTCTTCCGCCGTTTGATTTCGACGAGGAGCTCCTTCTGTCCTCGCTTGAAATGCTCGTTCGCGAATTCCCATTTGTCAGGAACGATCTTTCGAAATCCCTGAGTATTCAACGATCAAAACCAAACAAATATTTCATTTATTTGTTTATTCTCAGCAACAAGTTTATAAAATATGAAAAATTATATTTTTTTTAATTAATAATGGGAGACGTCAAGACCTATTGTAAATACACTAGTTTTTGAGAGAGAGAAAAAAGAAAGATACACTAGTCCTTAAAATATATAGATCATATGAAAACATAGAATATATCTTATTAAATGTTTTATATTATTATATTGAATACATTTTTTTTTCATGATATTTTTTTTAATTTTTGACTTCTCAAAATATGTCTATAAACACATACTGAAAACTGTAATTATAAAAGGATAGACTAAATATGGAATAAAAACTACTTCCATTAACGAGTCAATAAAAATGATGAATGTTAAATTCATTTAGATGATTTTTTTTTTCAAAATAAAAAATATTTATCTTTAGTATTTAATTACTTTAATTTAAATATAGAATAAATATGATATCTACTTAAAAAATATATTCTAGAAAAGTTTTATCTCTTTCCATATAACTTCAGCTTAATTATTACTTATTTATATTTGTCTTCATTTAGAATAGTTAGGAAGTTCTTTTTTCTATTTAAGTTCATACAAATTTAGTTTGAAAGAATTAGAAATTGTTGAAATATTGTTATTTGTTATTCAGTTTAAAGTATTGATGTATAAGTTTTGTTAGTGTAAGTAATAATAAGTTTATTTTCGTAATTCATTAAAGCCAACCTGCAATAAAAATGGTGTACAGTGAAATCAATTAAAGAAAATAAAAAGCATGATCCGGGCAATCCGCCATGAGCCCACTGTTATTTTATTCGGAACAGTCGGCACTGTGACCACTTTCAGTTTCGCATTTATATAAGGCAAGTGGCAACTAAATTCGAATCCAATAAAACTAAAAAATAATTATGGATTTCGGCCACCAACCACACTTCCTATATTATCATTTTTATCTATAATTTCATTTATTAAGTAAATAATATCACTCCGTTTATTATTAATAATAATAAATTTAAACTATTAACATGAGCTTTAAAGTTACTTTTAAGCATAATTAAATGTTATTAAAACGCGAGAATTGATTACATAAAATATAATAAATGTTTAAAATAAATTTATTATTTTGTAATTATAATTAATTCTTAAATTTAATTTGATAGGAAATGTTCATTTTGGAATTAGATCAATGCATCAAATAGAAGGCGGGTTTATAGAGGATAAGATTTATTTTATTTCATAAACAGAATGCTTATTATTATGTATTTGCATACTACCCTTGCCTATTAATTTACTCATTTAATTTATTTTCGTTTTCACTTTTCATATTTCCTATTATTTCTTCAAGATGAAAATTCACCAAAATAAATTAATTTAATGTCTGAAAATAATTCCTCCAATTTGGCCACCTAACAGAAACATCTATAGCACGAAGCTTCACGTGCTTTCTACCACACATAAATCGCTTCTTATATTCATACATTTTTTACATGAACCCATATGTGAAGTAATTTTCCAAGAAACATAACATATGGTATGGAAAGTATTTAAGAAAACAAACCACTGATCAAAATTAAACAACGATGCTTCAACAAACAAGAGACAAATTCAAAGCAACCCATCCTATACAATTTATATCAAACTTTTTATATTCGATATATCCCTGGATCGAAAGTTCCACATAAGATTCTAATCCACGCTTTTATGTATTTAAAAATATGCAAAATCACCAAATCATATGGTGAAAAAAAAAAAAAAAAACACGAACTGCTGTATCAACATTCAAATAACAAAACGGAAATTCGTTCACCGAATGGACTCGAAATTAGCATGATTTTATTTTAAGTTCATCATATGTAAACGACACAAAACACAGACAAAGACAGGGAGTTTAGTGTTAAACGCACAAACAGAGGAGGGAGGGAAGAGAGGCTTACATAGGTATTGAGCTGGCGAACGAAGCTGGAGAAGTTGTTGTGCTTGAAGTACTTGGGAAGCAAATCCTTAGCGAAATCGGCGTGTTTCCAAACGACAAAAGTATTGCCAGTTTGGCTCCACGAAATAACGTCGTCGGTGGCAGGATCCTCCACTAACTGATACGTCTTCGTCAAAAACGGCGCTGGCGTCGACCGCTGCGACATTTCTTCCCGATCTACCCCTTCACCTACCTCACCAATTTACTCTCTTTTAAAAAATAAAATAAACCTATGCTTTTTTTTTGTTTCGTTTAAAAAAAAAGGAAGAAGAAAAGGGGGTTGTGATTTTAGCAATAAGAACTAAAAAGGAGAAGAGCTGTTAAGAACTCCCAGGTCCAGCAATAGAAGCCAAAGAGGAAGAAGCGAGAGTGGAAGGAGGTGCGTCGATCAGAATCCATTGGTCCAAAACAGAACCAGGTGTGTGAAATGAAATACCATAACTTCCAAGGGGAAAAGGGAAAGGTCAATAGTTTAGAGGGTGATGGTGATAAATGATGACAATGTTCTGGATTTCTGCAAGGGACTATTTTATATATACGCACGCACGCAAGAAGGCCGAACCAACCCAACCCCCACCCCCCAAATAGTGACGTGGGTTCTAGAAAATTTTAGATGCACTCAAGTCTATAATTACAATCACCACGATGAAACGACCCACTCACGGTGATTCTTGTCCCTAGACCTCTTCACTACACCCAATAAACTTCTTTTCTTTTCAATACTAATCGCCTCCAACAACATCTTTTTCATCTTGTATTTATAGATAATATTAAAGCTTTTTTTTTAAATATCAATTGTCATACGATATTTTTTAATTACTATTTTATATATTCTTTTAATTTATTTTTTTATTTTTTTTATTTCACTATCTCTATTAAGCGAGAAAAGGAATTTCATTCTTATTTATCTGTATAGGTAATATTTCAAACAATATTAATTATTATTCTTTCACTTTGTTCATATAAAAATATGATTTTTTTAAATTTAAAATATTAACTTTCATTTAAAAATAATTTTATTTTTTAATTTTTAATATTATAAATATTTATTTATTAAAAAATTATTATTTTAAATATTTAAATTCAGTCCTAATGACTAAAGTGAATAAAATTATAAAAAAATATTATATTTTATTGTATTTTCTAATTAATCGTCATGTTACTTTATAAAATAAATATTACATGACAAAATACATGTATTAATTATTTTAAAAAATATTTAACAGTTTCTTATTTACTGATTAAAAAGATTTATAAGCATAAAAAATGAAATGGTTTATAATTATTCTATAATATTTACATTATTTAATCAGTCTAATAGTATAAAAATGTTAATGAAAAATAAATTAGTAATTTTACAATTAAGTCTAATAAAATAATTAAATTATTTAATTTAATTTAATTTTTCTTTTGAGACGGATAAAAAGAAATAAAGATACAATATATGACTTTTACTATTTATATTGTTATATTTTCAATTTTACTTATATGTTAATGTTTTTTAATAAATTGTCACGTGATGCTTTCAGGCATTAATTTAAATAAATAAATAAAATAAAAGCTATACATATTTATAGTATTCATTAAATGTTATTCATTATTCATTTGTAAATTTTCTACCTTTTTTCATTTTGATGTATAACTTTTATTGTTTTTTACTTTATATAAGTTGTAAAAATTATAAGTCAATTAAAATATTAAATTGTAAGAATAAAAAATTCTATAATATGTATAAATAATTTAAAAAATATTAATTTTGAAAAAATATAATTCCAATCGTCCGCGTCCACGAATATAATACAAGTCATCTATATTTAGTTTACGACTAAGATTTTAGGGAAAAAAAAAAGGTATAAAGAAAGAGAAAGGTTTTTTTTTATTCCTTAAAGATTAATTTAAAACAAGTAATTTTTCTTACATTGAATCAATATCATTAAATTAAATTATTTTAAATAAATAAATAAATAAATTATATTACTAATTTTAAATTTGATAAATTTAAAAATAAATGTATAATATAAAAAAACTATAATAAAAATAAATAATTTCTAAAAGTATTAAAAAACACACTTATTCAAGCTCAAAAGTCGAGAATAGTGAGATAAGATCTGCATACATTTACTTTAAAATTGAAATTATATATAAAGAAAGAGAATCAAGCATTTACTAATGTGCTCCTAATTTAATAGCAAAAAAAAAATGTGCTCCTAATTTATAGTCTCATATTATTTTATACATTTTTCATGCTGTGTTATTTTACTTTACTTTCAATTAAATTATCCAGTCTTTTTTATTAATTTTATTTTAATCATATAAATATATATATTTGAAAAGAGTTTAAGATTTTATATTTTTAATTTTTTATTAGTATTATTAACAATATAATTTAAATGTAAATAAAACAAAAAAAATATAATTATAGAGTTTAATTTAAATAAAAATTAATGATTTTTTTATAATTATTTTAAAATTCATATCAGAAGTAATTTAATTAGTTAATAGTGTAAAAATATTTACATTGACAATGTCTCAAAATTAAACTCTTTTACTAATTACTAAAAGACACTCTAACAATAAAAAAATTTAAATATAAATATAAAAAATAAATTTATTCATTTTCTCTAATAATTTACTCTCATCTACAAATACTTTCTATTTTATATTCACACACATTTTCCATTTGCAGATTTAAAAGAAATAATAAAATTTGAAATATTTTTATTCTTTAATTGACTTAACATCATTAATTGTGAATAAAGCAACAATCCAGATCTTTATTCCTTGAAATCACACTTTTAAATTTGTAACCATATAAGTATAATTTATTAAGAAGTTTATTTTAAAAATAATTTAATATGAACATAATAGTTGAAATAATATAAAATATAGTTAAATTTTCTTAAATCCAACTATTATAATTATTAAGTGGCTATAGTTGTTTTAAATTTAGATAAAATATGATAAAATGCATAATCAAATTAATTTTAATCATCACTGAGCATTTAGATAAATTAGTAGAAGTAATTCTAACTTAATTTATGGTGGCAACTGGCAAGTTCAACTTTTAACAACCAGGTTCTAACACAAAAGGTTAAATTAACAAGGGCCAAGAACTATGCACGTTTTTAAGCAATTGCTGTGGTCGTATTTGGTTTTCAAATTATTTTTTCATCAGAGGAAGCTACCAAAACCTTTCTCTCTCTGGAAACTTTTTATCAGCCTGTTGTACAATATTTTTGGGTCAAAATTCCGTTATAGAACGTGAGAGTGCAATGTGTATTTTCTATGGACGCGTGAGATTGATATTCTATGTTTTTACTTTTTCAAAGAAAGGAGAAGAGACGAAGAAGAATGGGAAGTTAAGAACGAGTGAGAAGCTTAGCCGAGTGGGTAAGATGACTTTTTCTTTCACTGCAGATTTCCCCCTAACACTTTCCCTTTCTTAATTGCGTGTAGTCTTTGTTATCGCTATTACCAATTTATTATGTACGATGTCTGTCCTCTTTCTTTAATTTCTAGTTCCTTCCCTTCGTCTTGTATTTACACCTTTGTGGCCCTTGTTACAAATAAGAGAATCACAATAACAGCAAAGACGTAAATAAGGTGATATTAAAATACCATTAACGTTTTAAAGAGTTATATCAATCATATATTTTAATTAATTAATAATGTAAAAAATTTTATACTGACAATTATAAAAATTAAACTCAAAATTAAACATGATTTCTTAAAAATAAAAATAAAAAACAAACTTTATGCCTAAAAAACAATTAAAACAATTAAAACAATCAAATCTTAACTACAAAGTAATTTATTGAATTAGTTCAATTTTCAAATTATTATGAACTCAATCTAAATCAAATCATAACTTTTTTTAATGATTGGGTTGAATAATTTTTTTCTTTCCAATCTAAATCAAATTAAAAACATCCTTATTCCGTGTAAAGCTTTCGCCTTTCCTTGCCAAAGTGGGTGAAGGAGTGAGGGATTTTTTTTTCTTTATTTTGTTTTAATAAATTGATATAATAAAAACTATTTATTTATTTTGAAAATTATTATAATAAAAATTATTTATTTATATAATTATCACATATAATTTTTTATGATATTTTTATTTTTATTTATCTAAAAATACATTTTTCATTCTACTTCTATTTTGTTTTCGACCTCTCTTTAGTTTTTTTTCTTTATTTCATTTCTTATCCAAATAGATAGCAAAGTAATTATTATAGAATTAATGTATAATGTATACGTTTTTATATGAGCAAACTTTTTATTTAATTTCTAAAATTATAGCATCAAGTATTTATTCCTTAAAATTTTATAATGTGTTTAATAGTTATTGAAATTAATCTTCGACCATTAATTTTGTACTTCTGACCATCTATCAATAAAAAAATATCTTATACGAATAACTTATTATGTGTAATACACACAATTTTCTTTGTTCAGTTATTGAAGCATAATTTTATAGGTAAGCGAAAAGGATTGGTGGGGATCTAGTAATGGATAACTCATCACTGCACTTCTATTCTAAGACACAAACAGATCCTGATTGAACTATTAGTTTGTCGGCTGCGCAGAATTCGGAGGGTATAGTGTTAAGTGCATTGAAAATCATTTTATGGCATCACCATCATTCACACACATTATTAATTAATTAAGTATATGTTATGAATTTTTATGAATAGATATATATTTTCTTTTTTTTTTTTATATATTTTGTAAAAGTTTAAAAATTATAATTATTTATATAATTTATATTTAAAGAGATAAAACTCTTAAATTATAAATTTAGCCTATAAATTAGGGGTGAGTAACATTTAATTTGATTTTGTCAGGTGTGAGGGGATGAGTCAACGGGTTTTGAAGGTTGACAGTCGGATTGAAACGGGTTAGGCGTTCAACGAGTGATAAGGAACTATGGCGTTGATAGATTGATGGTAATGGTGAGAGATGATACGTGGCGGTGGGTAACAAGGGCGCTGACGTTATTGCAATTGTGAATCTAAAATCACAGATCAAATTTGTGATAAGGGAAAACAAATTTGTGAGGTGGATAGTGGTCACCGGTTAGCGTCCAACTGTGGTGATCGGTAATATTATATATAGTGTGTCTTGCAAAATCAAGTGCGGTGAAAATTGCACTGTGCCTGAGTATATAGCCTTTACACATTCGCCGTTGGCAGCTTAACATTTAGCGGTTTGATTTTATTATATGTTGAACCACTCAAGGGATGAGCATATATGATTTGTTGCACCTAAATCAATAATTCAAAAATTTTGCTAGTTCTTAGTCTGCATGAAAAGGATAAATACTTCCAAATCTAGTCTTTGTACCTACCATTTTGTATGATTGAACATCTCTAGATCGATGCGCTGCTACTTGCCGACTGCTATGTGACGACGTATTACCAACTTCACTAGGCTTTATCAATTCAAGTTGAGCCTTATACTGCTACGGTGTGAGCCATAGATTTGAAGCATCATTATCAACCTTTTCATTTATGAATTCTAACGTTCTTTTCTTCGTCGATTTTGCCAATGGCATTATTAACAATACCTTCATTATAAAACTTGTGACTTGGAGGATTGCCATGTTTCT